TTTGTAGAGTTGTAATTTTTCGTTCAAGCAGCCGTTTGGTGTAATTTTTTTTTCTTTTATTAAGATGTTGGAGTACTATATTTTACAGTTATGATAATGTTTCAAAAGAGACCATCATCTATGATTTTAAGGTTTGAGACGTTTTTAGAATTTAGATTAATTAACTATTAAGCAAAACATTTTCGTGAATTAGTGTTTAGCCTGCTGGTTAAGTTGTTAATTTACAATTCTAATTGCTAGAGTTCGAACCATCACTTTGAATTTTTTACACATCTTGCTTTTTATCCCTTTCTCATGTACGATGCGAGCCTTTCCCATTCCCTTCGTTCTTAACCTTATTTCACTTTCACTTTCACTTTCCCTTTCCCTTTCTTTCTTTCTCTCCGTTCGTTCACCCCCTTCTCATAACCAGCCCTGATCTGAAAAACACCTCGTTTTCCTCATAGTATGTGTTCTTGATTCATGGCTCCATTCCATTGAATTCGAGGTCTTTCTCGTTTTTGCGTTCTCGAAAGGCTGCTGCTGGGAGGAGCGGCGCTGTCAGAGAGAGGAGCGGGTCAGAGAGAGGAGCGCGTTGCTGCTGTGGAGCAGGGCTGCTGTCATACAGAAGTGGTGCTGCTGTGTGGAGCGAAACGGAACGACGCTACTGCTGTGGAGCGGGGCTGCTATCGGACAGGAGCTGCGCTTTTGTGGAGCGGAATGCTACTGATGTCGGCTACTGATTAGGCAATAATCTTACTCGTCCAAATTCAGAAAATCCAGGTGCGTGCGTTAGCTACTCTGTTACTCCCTTAGCATATTTAGGTTTACTCATCCAAATTCAAAACCTTTATTGCAGGTTGCAAACTCCTATGAACATAACAAAAGTAAGAGATTGGATGACCTATTGTCACTATCACGAGGCCCTGCTCAAAGTGTCAAGTGTTATACAGGTTATGTCCTAAATGGTTTTCGTTTTCACTCAAAGGATTATGACAAAAATTTGAGGACTCAAAATAATGGAGTCGTCGTAGTTGGTGATGATGGAGTCGATGTGAATGCTATAGACTACTATGGGGTTTTAAGAGAGGTCATTCAGCTGAAATTTCTTGGAGGAAGATCATTAGCTTTATTTAGGTGTGATTGGTGCGATGTCTATGATAAGACAAAAGGGTTGAAAGTGGATGAACATGGTTTTGTGAGTGTTAACCTGAATAGAATGTTGAAGACAAATGAACCCTTTGTCCTAACAAGTCAAGTGTCCCAAGTATTTTATGCAGAAGACATAGTTAATAAGAACTGGCACTTGGCTATAAAGGTGCCACCTCGAGCCATGGATGTGTTGCAAAATGAACATAACACTGGCGAAAACACTGGCGAATCATAGAATTGGTTGAACCTATGGATTGGTATGGTTTTCTCTTGATTTTTTGAATCTCTCCTATTGTGATTCTGTTATCAGGTATGAATATTATTCTAACATTACAATCTTTTGTCTTCCTTTTATTTTACTACAGAAGACTGTTCTGCCCAATTGTCATTATGGAAGATTGTCTGGTTTTGCTGTCAACTTCAGGTTAGTATCTTTGTCAAAGCTCTCAACAACAGGAATAATTTTTGGTAGTTGTGATAGTGAATGAAAATTTTCATTTTGTTTTGTTACATGGGCAAGATGGATTTGGATTACAAGAAACTAAATAATAAGGATTTGTATGATGTTAGAAGATACTTTATATGCTATGTTGTTAGAGGAGCAGTGTACTTGTTCTATGTAATAAATCATAAGTCCCTTTTGCTTTTCAGATTATGTACTCATGATGTTAGTGGTGTTGGGATGAAGTTTCCAAGGAGATGGAGTTTGCTGGATTTGGCTCTCAAGCTGGAACTGTCTCATATCACCCTTTTGCACCCTTTTGTAGCTTCCAAGTAGATGGTGTCTACACAAGAAGTACGGAACTCGTATAAGCTATTGTTTGGAACTCTTTTGATTATTATTATTATGTTAGAAGATACTATTTGGGACTCTTTTGATTATTGTTGATAAGACGATGTTCTATTTACATTTATTATTATTGGTAGGAAACTTTAATATAACTCATTTTCATAATTATTGGCTTGTATCTAGTCACGAAAAAGACTGTGACTAGTGGTTTGTTTGTAGTCATGGGAAAATGCAGTGACCAATGATTTATAATTAGGTACAGGGAATACCGTGTATAGTAGTGTATATATAGTCACGGGAAAACTTGGCAGTACAAGTAGTAAATACCGTGATTAATGATTGACATTTATTCACGGGAAACAATTTTGTCACCGCAAATACTGTGATTATTGATCGACATCCAGTCACAGGAACTGATTTTGCCACCGTAAATACCGTGATTAGTGATCCACATCTAGTCACAGGAACAGATTTTGCCACTGTAAATACCGTAATTAGTGATTGACATATAGTCACGGGAAACGATTTTATCACAGTCAATGTAGTCAAAATCCCGATTTTAATCTTAAAATCTTGCGATTTTACGATCTTACCTATGGGTTCCGATCCTGATTTTACTGTAAAATCTTTGAACCTTAAAATCCCATAAAATCCCGATTTAAAACTCTAAAATCCATAAAATCTACGATTTCTACGATTTTCTACGATTTCAAGGTTCATATCAATTGGATCAAAATTAGGCCGGTCAAGTTGGGTTATGCCCATGAACCGAGTCATATTTACTTTCCCCAACCCAACATAATGAACAACACAACCCCAACCTGATAGTTAACTCTCAATTTATTTTCATTCTCTTCCTCGTATCTTCCTCTTTCGCACGTCGGCGCCCAACTCCTTTCATCAACGATATCTTCCAGCCTCCCAATTAGCTTGTAATTTGTTCCCACCACCCTCACAATAATCCAAATCTCCATTACATTGCATGCTTTTGTTCATCTCCCAATTCTTCAGCACCACTAACCCGACCTTTTATCAATTAAGAAGGGAATGCATCAATCAATGAGTTATCTTTTCCAGATGATGATAATCAAGGAAATATGGTTAATGGTGAAAGTACTTCAAGTGATCATAAGAGTAATGATATTAGTCCTTAAACAAACAAAAACGATTAGAGTGAGGGTGAGGTTGAGGTTGAGGATGATGATGATGATGTGTCAGTGATGTTAATGTTGATCCTAACGATCTTATGTGATTTTCTACTCTTAACAATTAATTAACAGGGATATCTATAATGTTTCAGGTTTCTTATTTGTGTGTTTCTATTATGTACAAGAAAAATATATGGATTAGCTGTGTTTGTTTAGCAAACAAACTTATCTTGGGAAGTAATTATGCTTTATGTGGTTGATTGTTATTCAAGATATGCATTTTTATTACTATCTAGTGTTTTAAGTATTTATTTTAATATGAACCTTAAAATCTTACGATTTTAATCTAAGATTTCGATTCTACCTCAGTTTTCGATTTTACTTAAAATCTAGATTTTGACTGCATTGATCACAGTAAGTACCGTGTTAAAAGGTGTTCATCCCGTGTCTAAATTACTTATTTTCCATGTTATTGTGCTCTTGTTTTATGCATTGGGCACGGGGCATCCCGTGACCAATAGGTACAAATTATCACAGGAAATTATGCCGTGACTAATTATAATTAGTCATGGTACGAGTTTCCCGTGACCTTTACAATTAGACACAGACGTATATATTACAGTAATTTTACTGTGAATAAAACTATTAAGCACGGAAAACACACTTTTAAACACGGGATTCACCGTGCTTAAATGATTTTTTCCTGTAGTGAATTCAGTTACATGATGCGACGAGAAAACTCAATCCTATGTAGTTTTATGATGATGGTTAACATATTTATAAGGATGAATATTACAGTTGTTGTAACTACCTTTTTTGTTGTTTGTTATTTAATTAATATTATACGTAATGCGAAGCAGAGATAATGTAAACGTTTTGTCACTTGACAACCTCATAATTCCTTAAGATTTTATTATATAGAGCCAAATAACAAAATTATAAAGATTTTCCAGAGTTTAATAAGATATGTAATGGTATCTTTGAGTTTGAATATTGAACATGGATTATACATACGTACTTATTATTTGGAGATAAATTTATCATTGATTAGATAATCTATTGCACTAGAAAATTCAACTCCAAAGTTTGATGTTGATTGTACATTCATTGAATGAAGAAATGGGTTAAAAGTCGACTCCATTCAATCATGACATATGATAATTTTAATTCTCTTGGTGAAGTTGTTGTCAACAAGTTGAAGAAAATGTTTTTGCAACATTTGGCATAAACATTTACATCCATCAGAGACAAAAATAATGAAAGATCATGTACAACTTATGATTTTTTTTTTTTTTTGTCAATAGAAGATGAGATAGTCCAGAATATGATTTTTTTATGGATGGCCAAAATTCACCTCCAACAACCAACCAACAAAATAAGTACATAAGTTTTCATTCATAAAGTACTCGTATCATAGAACTATACAGGCCATAAGAATTAGTAAATTATCGCGATCAAATTATGGAAATAATGAATTTGTTTTCATAAGTTGACGGGTTGTTAAACTTTTTGGCTAACCGTTTATAAAATTATTTTTAACTTAGAATATCTAAGATATATATATAAAATATGTTAGTTTAGGACTTAATGCTTTATTAATAAAAAATAATTTCAAATTCATATTATCGTCACCAAAAATTCTAAGAGAGCATTCAAACCGTCTAAAAAAGATCAAACAAAATTTTTATAAAATTTAAATTAGTAATTAGGATGATGAGGATAGTGATTCACATAAATCCAACAAAGAAAACTAGGAGTATAAATTAAATTAGTTGATGGTACAAAATTCATGTTAAAGTTTCTTTTATCTTAAACATTAATTAATTCTAATAGTTCAAATAGTGAACTGATGAACTAGTTAAATTAGGATAATTTACTCGGTTCCGATTCCAACAGTGAAAAATCATCCGTTTATCATGGACGATTGAAGCAAAATAGACAGCATTTTATTATAATTTGTTACACAATTCCACCGGTTTACTTGTCGAACCGGTCCGATTCTTATAATAACGAGGATTAATAATCACTAGCCATCCAGCAATCCTTTATACCATGAGCAAATACATACATCACTTTCAACTTACACCATTTTCAGATCTGAATTTGACTTTACATCTAGTTATTGACAAATATACTATACATAATACATGCATACTAAAAATTAAACAAGTACCTACATTTAATTTATAGGTTCATCAATTATTTATGTCACACGACCGACCGAGTACCATTTACCACTCCATTATCTCTTTATATATACACGTATCATTATCACGCTGTAGGATAAGAAGCTTCCATGGCCAGACCACACAACCCTTCACTCTCAGAAACATCTTTCTTGATCCTCATATACCCATCCTCTCCCCATCCCTTCCCCCACGAGTTCTTCAGAATCCAATACTTACTCCCGTCACTATTTGTCCCGTAGCCAACCGCAGTGACTGCATGGTCAAGCTCCGTTCCGCAAGATCCCTCGAAAACCCCGCTCCCGTACAGCTGGAACATAAACCCGCCGCCTTCTATGGCCACAGACACCGGCTGATGAGCCACGGCTTGCATCAGAGCTCGCTCGCTGTTCGCCGGGACGTCCTCGTAGCCCTTTATCTTGGCCGCAGGAGACGAGGACCGCTTCTTGTTGCATGTGCCGTCCTGGGCTTGGTAAGGGTATTGGGCTTCCGTCGTCAGGCCGCCTTTGGCCCGAATGAAGGTAAAAGCGTTGTCCATCAGCCCGCCTTCACAACCTCCATCCTCGCCCTCCACGTCGCAGTCTATGAGCTCTTGCTCCGACAGGGAGATCAGCTTCCCCGTTTTCAGCTTTGTGATTCCTTCCATCGCTGCCACCGCCGAAAACGCCCAACATGCCCCTGACAATTTAGCCATGCTTGTGTCACACACGAGATTACGTTACGTTGCTACAAATGGTATGTATATATAGTACAATTTTTTTAATAAATGACCTGAATGGGGGAGATGGTCAATCGTGTACTAATACGCTCCATCAAACGAAAGCAACTCATAAGGATTTAAAGTTTGTACGAAGTGTGAATCTCATGTGCTTAAAAGAAACATATGAGGGCATTCTGTGGCCGAGAGGTCTTGTGTTCGAATCCAGATGACTCCACTTGTAAAGTACATGTGTTCTCGTATTCATGACATGTGCAAACGAAAACCCTTATAATTGGTTGACTGACTTTCGTTTGAGGGGTGTATTAGTGACTAATACAAGATTCATTATTGAACTTCTCCCAACAATTCGAGTTATTGAAAGCAACTGGTTCTTCATAAATAAATGGGTGTTGACGTTATTAATAATTAATTACCACATTTGGCTTGGTCTTTGACAGGTGTGACGACGCCGGACTTCCTCCAGTCCATGGTGGCAGGAACGGCTGACACGTTAGCATACCGGAAGGTGGCGGCGGTGGATTGTTTCAGGGAAGAAGAGTGGCGGCGTTTGTAGCCCAAGTACGTGGACCGGAACTCTTCGTTGGTAAGGTCGGCAAACTTGTTGAGCCCAAGCTTGAACCCGGCGTTCTTACCGTTGTTGTTATTAAAACCCTCGACGAGTCTGGCGTTGTCGTTGAAGATAAGTAGCCTTCTCTCCTTCTCTGCCTCGTCTTTGTAGGACCTAGAGTGTTTGACCATCCAGTCCTCGTGCTTCAGCCGCATGATGATTTGGTCGTCGTCCAGCTGGCGACAAGTCGTTTTGGTTGGACACATGGCTGCTAGCAGTACGAGGAAAAAGGCGGCTGAGAGGAGTACTAGGTTGTTGGAAGATTGCATGGTTGCCATGGGAGAAGTAATTTACTTAAAGGGGCTGTTGGGTTTCGCTTTGTGAAATGGCTGCTGGCTGGTATTTATAGCTGGAAATTTCCCAGGTATTATTAAGCTAGGGAGTGAGTACTGATGGAGAAGTTGACTGAATGGGTCTCTCTCCGCTCTAACGTGCCTTGAAAAATGTCCTGATTTGGACTTTCAGTTTTGGGACGATCTGCGTTCAATCAGTTATGTCTAGGATGATGGTTTGAACCGGTTGACGATATTTCAATATGGACAAGAAACTATGGCTTGTGTATACGTACGTATATAAGAGTTAAGACATCTTGCTGTGGTCTCCAAATTTTATGGGGAAGTGTCGAGTTGTAACTTCTAACTAGGCATATGTTGCGACTTGCGGAAGGGTTTATATTACTACGTATATAACGTCAGATGCTTACTGTATAGACAACAGATTATTTGCTTATTTAAATACCTCTTTAATCACTTCACGGTCTCTGATAATATTTTAATTATGTTTATCACATTACAAATGAAGTGAAAGTAGTTTCCGGTCTCGAGCCAAATACATTGCAAATTTACCTTTTGATGCGCGTGGTAAATGGTAATGTCTTAAGTTTAGACTCAGAGATTACTAATCTCCTAGGGCATGATAAGATTTCAAAGGAACAGTTATAAGTTATAACAGTTTCAGTTTAGCAGTAAGGCTCCTATGTATTTTTTATTATATCTTGGTTTTTTCTTTCTTTTTTTTCTTCTTTCTCTGTAGATTCCTTCTTTGTCTCTACTGTTTCGCGTGGGCGGGTCAAATCGACTCATTATGAAATTTCATCAATTGTAAAAAAAAAAAAAAAAAACATACAAACTTCTTAAAGAGAAATATTTTATTCAAATTTCACTACCATCTTTGTGTAAAATTTCATCTACGAAGGATAACAATCAAGTTGATACAATGAATCATCTGTTGATTGAGGCTGCATATCTAAAATTTATCTCAACTTTCACAAGTGTTACCTAGCACAAAAGAAAATTACACTTCACATTCTCTAATTACCAACTTGTCTAGTAATCTAATCCCATATATCTGTCCAAAGACATATTAGTGATTTCATCAGAGAAAATGAGTAGTGAAGTGATGATAGTGATTCCATATCAGAGAAAATGAGATTCTTGTGGTTTAGTGAATCATGTCAAGATTCAACCGGTCAGCAGAACTTGGCATTACGTACCCTCCAATCGCCATGCAAATGAAATATCAGATTAATTAAAGTCTCACTCGATCGCCACTAGAAAGTAATCCGTGCAAGAAATCAAAGCTTAGATGATTCAGCCAATCAAGCAAGAGGCGAAATTTCTTACGACAAGATTCTATCTTTGATTAGCAGCAAACAGTGCGCATGGTTTTCAGAACTGATGGTAACTGAAAGGAGAGGGCAGCGTAATATTGATATCCTCATTTTAAACAAATGAAAATAAGATATATTGTAAGTCTCGAATTATTAGAAAGAGCCTCTTTTTGTAAATATATATAATTGAAATGTTTATTTGAGGGTCTTGTATTTCAATGTTGAATATAATATTCAATATTGACAATTTGTTTGCACAAGAAATATACGTAGATATTGCGTAAGGATTTCATGTTTATGACATGATTTGCGTACGAGGGACACATAAAAAATTAACACAAAATTTATCTTTTTATGTGTTTGAACGATTCTAATTATTGGAACTAATTGGATCTCTCAGATTAATTTTTTTTTTTTTACGCAGAACCCTTGCTGGATTTGGAATCTTTGAAATTTCAGCAACTCTATTTATTGATTGAGAAAGCTGGAACTTGGCCAGTTTGCAATTATATGACTAATCGTTGTTGTTGTACTTTTCTTATGTTTTTTTTTTTTGTGTTTTCTAATTATACGAAACTGTACGTCTAATTATTCAATTAGAATCTATTGCCAGTTCCTCTCAATTATTGTCGTCCTCAACTCAAATGACTTTGGATTTTTCTTCTTCTTTTACAACAGACTTATCCTTTGATTTTGAATGACTTCTATTCCCTAGAATCACAGTTCACAAAGGTGGAAAGGACGTGTGGATGGTTGGGCTTAGAAAGGATTCAGCAGTATTATCTTTTGGGATTGCCGAGGATTCACGAGTGACCATATAAAGGATTGAGCAATTCTTGTACGAAACATTTTATGATTTTCTGGGAGTTGTGTGGTTCTCTTTCGGAATGAATGTTCATGGAGCTTATAGATAATACTGTCAGTTAAAGTTCGGTAACGAAAGATGAATCAGCTGGAAATGGCAACAAAGAATTTGCTACCTTTCTCTTTTGGATTTTCAGTTCAATGGCCGGCTAATAGAACTGGCAAATTACAACCCGACCCGTTCGCCCGACCCGAAACTGTCCGAAAACTAGATATTTTTGTAACCCGAAATTCGAATGACCTGACCCGATAACCCGTGATTTTTTGGGTCAGGTTGGGTGGGTTAGCGGGCCGACACGTTAGACCCATTCCATTCTATATATCACTCTCAAAATGATAAAATCACTCATAAATTGGTCAAATGTTTAAAAAAAAATTAGGGTAAATACAATATATTATCCACAACTATTATGAAGCAGGGAATTATAGCCACAATTATAAAAATTCAAATTATTAGCCATAACTATTGTTGCGGGTCAAGATATGGCTAACTGTCCATTACTTTTATTGAATTTTTAGCTTAGAAGGTTACATCATCGGCCACGGCAACAGCCACGTCGGACTGCTTTTAATTTATAACTTTGAAACATAAAAGTTTAGTCAATATTACTAACGAAATTGTTAACAAATAGTTAACGTTTGGCTAATAATTTGAATTTCCATAGTTATGGCTATAATTCCCCACTTCATAATAGTTGTGGCTAATATATTGTATTTACCCAAAAAATTACAACGATTTGAATGACATGTTTGGAGTTTAAGGATAATCAAATATCATGTGTTTCTTGTAGTAGTATTACTCTTGTGATTGTTTTTTGACGATTTGCGTAATTTGTATTTCATTTCATCAGCGTGGGAGGATTTGAGAATATGTTAATTGGCATGTGTTAGTTAAACTATTGTCATGCATATGTGAAAATTTGTGTTCTTAGAGAAAATATGATGCATGTTTGATATTATTTCTAAGAACGCTCATAACCCTAAATGACCTGTAACCCGACCTGAAACCAAATGGGTTGGGTCAATATTTGACCCAAAATCAGTCAACCAAACATGACCCAACCCGTAACCGAAGTCCCCAACCCGAAATTACCCGACCTGATTGTCAGGTTTACCGGATAAAGAATAACGTTAATTAATATACATAAAGTCCTCCAATATGTAATAGTGGAGTTTTATGGGCTTTTCAGAATTCAAAATTTGCTGCTCTCTCCTTAATTTTTACCAAGGGCATTTTAGTCCAAAATTTATCCCTTAAACCCACGTCTTCAAGACGTGTAAATAACGAGTTGTTTGATAAGAAGCTGCAGGAATCTCGGGGGAGTGAACGTCCTTTCTCTCGTCTAGCGAGAGTCTCAAAATTAGGATTCCGGTTTTTCTAGAGCTAGGGTTCCAGTGTGTCGGCCTAGGTTTCTCCTCTACTTGCTAGAGTTTACAGTGGGATCTACCCATCTAAGCTTGTTTTTCTACCTCGGTTCTTAGCTGCTAATCACTGCTTGTTTGGATTCTAATCCGCCTCCTGCGTTTTAGAATCTCGAGTGAGAGTTTCATGGAAGCTTACTAACCAAGTTTTCAGGGTCTCGTATGCTTGTGAAACCCTAATCTGCCTCAAGCGGTTAAGGGTAAGGGAGAGATTTTCTTTTACTGCCTCTGTTGAGCTGTTTTTATGTGTTAGGGGACAATCCAAGTACCACATCGGTAATACAAGGGAAGGAACCCTTGTATATTAGAGTCCACCTAGCCCAATTAGTACGAGACCTTTTGGGGAGGATACCCAAAAGTAACTCACACAGGTATCAAGTTTAAGACTCCTTATGAAGTGTGGTATGGTAAGCCTGCTGATTACTGTTCATTGAAAGTTTTTGGGTGTCCTGTTTATTATCATGTGGGTGAGGGTAAATTGAACCCAAGGGCAAAGAAGGGTGTATTTTTGGGTTACGGAGATGGAGTTAAGGGATTTCGAGTCTGGTCACCTTCTGAGCATCGAGTTATACTCAGTAGAAATGTGATATTTGATGAGAAGTCTATGTTTAACCCCATGTTGATGGTGACTGTTGTTGAAGGTAGCAGGAATGTTGATAAGGAGGCGGAGCTGCAAACTCTCAATGAGAGTGAGTTTGAGCACCAAGGTGGAGATGATCAACATGAGCATGTTTCTACAGAGCCAGAAACTTCACAGTCCAGTGCAGGAGCTCAACAGTCTATAGCTTCCAGTAGACCGAAGAGAGCGACTGCAGGAGTACCTCCAGAGAGATATTGTTTCGAGGACATGGTGGTGTATTCATTTCAGGTTGCTGAAGAAGTGGCTGCAGGTGAGCCACAGTCCTATAGAGAAGCTGTTTCGGGTGGCGAAGCTGATCAGTGGCTTGCCGCAATGGGAGATGAGATAGAATCCCATGACAGGAATCAGACTTGGGAGCTAGTTAAACGACCACAGGGAAGGAAGATTGTTACAAACAAGTGGATCTACAAGAAGAAGGAAGGAATCACTTCTAAAGAGGGCATGAAATTTAAAGCTCGGATGGTTGCACGAGGCTTCTCTCAAAGGGAAGGAGTTGACTACAATGAGATTTTCTCACCAGTGGTCAGACATACTTCGATCGGAGTGCTACTAGCAATAGTGGCACATTATGACTTGGAGCTCGAGTAGCTAGACGTGAAAAGAAGACTATATTTGTAAGCTGAATATGTCCTTGTATGGACTTAAGCAGTCTCTAAGGCAGTGGTACAAGAGATTTTACAGTTACATGCTCGAGCTGGGCTACAACAGAATTCCATATGATTGTTGTGTGTATCACAACAAGG